GTCTAAGCTGGTTGACCAGCTTGGTCATACTGGTCATTTTGTCACGCTGGTCCACCAGCTTAACCAACTTAAGCCAGCTTGAGGTGGCCATGCCTTTTTTGGGAAGGGGGTGTTGACAAAAAAGAGCCAAGCAGGAATTCACACAAATCACATTCCAACAAAAATGACACAACAACAAAGACAACAATAACTCGTCTAGCACCTGAAACTCAAAAGTAACCATGGGAACCATACTTTGTCGCTTTGCTGGGCTGATATGGCAAAGCCTGATCCACAATAGGCAGAAACAATGGTTACCATGGCAATAACTATGTAAAAGCCTACTGATCACTGATAGCTCTGGTTAACGTCTCCAGTGAGGGTCAAGGGTCAGAGAAAGAAAGAGGATTTGAACTGTAATCTAGCATTTCTATTGGGCAATTCTGTGACCTTGTCTGATCTCTGATTACAGCCTGATTATACACTTTGCGTGACAAAGGAGCGCTCTCAAAGGGGAGTGTTAGGAGGAGCGGAGAGCTAGCGGAGGCAAAGCTACTCTCATCCGTGGGCTCAGTTCTTCATTATGCACGCTTGGGCGAGTCCGCGCCTCAGTCTCCTGCACTCCAGCCGGCAGCGCGAGCATGCCCGTCTGCTAATGAATGACCTGTCCTCCAGAGTCCAACTGCCAACACACTGAGGCATTTAGTATGCATGCGGGAGTTTGAGCGGTTTAAAGCTGCTCCCATATGCACCTATCTGACCGCTAAGCATAGGCAGGGTTTTCAGGTGATGGTCAAAGGCTGGAGCGCAACGTCCAGCATCATCAAAAGCTTGATGCTACTTCAAAGCAATGATTATATGATTAAGTTGATTTATTTTGCTTGGACCGTATGCCTTTTTACAGGACTTCCAAATGATCTGAATAATCAGCATATACACCGATCAGGCATGACATTATGACCACCTCCTTGGGTCAGGATCCCCATGGACCACCACAGAGCAGGTACTATTTGAGTGGTAGATCATTCTCAGCACTGTAACACTGACGTGGTGGTGGTGTGTTAGTGTGTGTTGTGCTGGTACGAGTGGATCAGACACAGCAGTGCTGCTGGAGTTTTTAAACACTGTGTCCACTCACTGTCCACTCTATTAGACACACCTGCGTTGTTGGTCCACCCTGTAGATGTAGCTGATAAAATGGACAATGAGTGTAGAAACAAGGAGGTGGTCATAATGTTATGCCTGATCGGTGTACAACGTAAATAAAAAAAATTGCAACAAATCTTCTTCTGATCATAAACATCTTCTTCATAAAGCATGACAAAGTACAAAGATTCTGAGGCAAAACAACAGTGCAGCGCTCAGACATTAGTAAAAAGAATGAATAAATTGTCTATCCAGTGAGGTTCTCAAGTCATTCTCAAGTGGTCAAATGCATTTTAACTAGCAAGACAGCTTTCAGCGAAAATGAATGCTGTGTTCTGCCCTGGCCTGACAGCGATGACTATTTCTGTCAAAATCAACAGCAAACTGACAGAGAGAACAGTCTGTTCAGTATGCAGTATAAGGGCTTTAAGCAAATAGCCCGATGCTATTCTTTGAACAAATAAAATAAAAATTGAGCATGCATGCTTCATAAAGTAAGATAGGGCATAAAAATACCACCCAGAAGTTTCCACTGGGGCACAGAACAAAATAACAAGTCTGTAGTGCTGCAATCTTCAACAGCTACTATTTCCCTCTTATGGTAAAACCTAATAATTGAGAATAGGTATTTCAGCTATCCGGCTAATAGAGAGATAATGATGCCATGCAACAAAATTCAGTGAATATGTTAAAATATTCATTCTCAATTCACACAACCACCTGAGATCGTGATGTTTTTAGGCTCAGGGATGGATTATTAGCCCGGCCACTGGGGCTTTGAGGGGAGGGCAATTATGTAACATCATATATTACATAAAATTATATAATTAATATTTAATATTATTACTGAAAGTAAGAAATGATGAAAATGATTTTTTTAGAAAAATGTATTATGCACAAAGACAATGCAGTGTGTGTTTAATAGTGTTTAAGGTGGGCTGGTCTCCTTTCAGACCCATAGCGCTAAGTTGTCTTCTCACAGTGGAAGGATGGACAGAAACACCTGTGGATGTTTTCAGATCTAAAGAAAGAGTGGAGCTTGATTTTCTCCTCTAACTCAAAGATGAAAGCTTTAAGTGCTGTTTATCGGATGGGAACTGTTTTGGTGGTTGCAGGTGGTTGTTAGGAATTCCATTTTTTCTGTATGTTTTGTATTTTTTTATTTGTTTATGGGGGGGGGGTACTTTTTCCACTTATATATATATTCTTCAGAAATATCTCCTGAAAGATTAATAACCTGTAGAGGAGCACAGGGAACAACGCGGGGCCCGATTTGACACAGACTTTTTACGTTGTTGAAGAAGGTGAAGCAGCATGAGCTTCTGGTCACATTACCACATTTCCTAACCACGGTCTCCCACCAACATTCAGAGCAATTCGTCAGCATTTCAAATCTGTGCCAAATCTGTGCCAAATCTGTGCGCCGTTTTCAAGTATGTGACAAGCTCACAGCAAGTGCTAGCTGGGCTTAAGTGCAGCCTCTGTACTGCAGGGTTAGCTGTTACACAACGTTACCACTAAGCCTCAGTGAACAAAGAGAAATACAGTGAATTTTGTATTTTGTTCTGTATGTTTACACAGATTTTAAGATGAAAAAGAGGAAAAATCTGAAAACAGAGATTTTCTCCTGCTTTATTCGTATCTTTCAGATGGTATTTTGGTTTTAGGTATCATGAAATGAAATCGACATTAACAGCTGGTAAAGCTGCAGTTATTCAGAAACAATGTTCCATATTTTACTGATGTGTGATGTTTTTTATTTGCTGTCCTTCACTGGACAAAAATACATGTCATTGTTTGACACACAGTCTCGTGTCAGTTTTCATATAGAATGTGAAGTGTGTGTGTATCTATCAGTTGATCTGTCTTATAAATAGATAATATTTAATGCAGTTTGGTTGAAAAAAAACATAAAATTAACTTTGTTTGCACTAATTGATCAGACTTTTCTAGCAAGTGTTACAACAAACCCTGTGTCTATTACAGTGAACCCACCATGGGCTAAACTGTAACACTTCCTGTCATTTTGGGTGGAACTGTACATGAACAGTAGGTGCTAGAAACAAAGCTCACGTTTTCATATGTAGCAGAGATGTATATGTTGCTTGTTTAATAAATATTTTAAAAAACATTCAACAAAAACCAAAATGTGTTAGGTTGTGCCTGCTCTTCCCTGCTTAACTGCCATTCTGACTAGAAACGAAACAAATGAAAGGTGGTCTCTGAGGTCTGTACTGTATATATTTTATCTTACCAACATTTTTTCTATTGGAGCGATTAAAGTGCTCCACCTGTTGGAAATGACACACTCAGTGGCTCAGCGCTCGCCTCCTATGAGGCCCAACACCTTAAACCTGATGATTAGTGTGAAGCGCACCACGCGAATAACACATACAGAGACCCTGCATGTTACCCACGCGTGTTACGGTAAGGCGACCACCTGCTTTGCGGATTATCGATCTGTGTCCTTTAAAAGGGCCCAGCAAGCTTTTAGCAGCCAATAGTCAGGCTTCGCATCATTTACCTGCAGCACAAGAAAACCCAGATAGAGAGAGAGAGAGCGAGAGAGAGAGAGAGAGAGAGAGAGAGAGAGAGCGAGAGAGAGAGAGAGCGAGGCTCAACAGGGAGAGAGAGAAAGAGAGAGAGAGAGCGAGGCTCAACTGTCAATGCCCCTCTACCACCCAAACACATACTGATAGCGGGTGAGCGTGCGTGAAGACGAGAGAGAGAGAGAGACAGAGAGAGAGAGAGAGAGAGAGCGCACGCGCTATCAATGCTCCTCTACCACCCTGTGCTGTATGTGAGTGTGGAAGAGAGAGAGAGAGAGAGAGAGAGAGACCAGCTCCATACAGTGAGTTCTAATTAAGTGCCGCAATCTCTTACGTTAGCGCTGAAACCCTCGCGAGGAGTGCGCGGTGGCGTCCCTCCTGGTTTAACGACGCCGCGAGCGCGCGGAACTGCACACCCCCGGAGATGCCGACAAGTAGCGGAGCGGCACGTGCTCGGAGCCGGAGCGCGAGCGGCAGCCCCGGCCGCAGGCGGAGGCGCGCGCTCCTACTCTGACAGCGCGAGAGTCGCGCGACCGCAGTGCCGAAGATCACTGCTGCATATGGCAAAACGACACGAGCCCGGCTCCGGCGGTGACGCCGATGGAACCCAACACGCCGCACTGTACTTATGCATTTAAACCTGCTCGCGCTTTGTGTGCGTCGTCAGCCTTGGCAAGACGAAGCCAGCGTGCACCGAACTGCTTCGCAGCTTAGCGCAACTTTTGTCCCTCCTTTCTTCAGTGTGAAAGTAGCGCGAACGGAGAGCGGTCCGCGTGCGATGACCGCTGATGCCATCTTCGACGCATTCGCGGGAGATAAGCGAGTCTTGCGAGCGTGACGTCCAATTGCAAAGACGTGACTGGTGATGTCTCCGTGCAGATTCCCATCGTCATGCTCCCGGGGCTCTCTGGGTCTCGAGATCCGGTGCAGCATGGCAGCATTCGGACGAGCGAGTCGATCATGCATAGGGGGGCTTCACACCAGGCTGCAGCGCGCACAGCGATGCATCTGACTGTTTTACGTCCACTCATGCGTTCGTCAGCCCTCACTGGCTCCTTATTACGCCCTTTTTAACGCTTGTGCAGGTGAAGCGAATAACTCACGTGCTCACACTGGGCATGCATCAACCAAACTCTCACTGAGTCACTTTTGCGAGAGAGGAATTCGGCGTGCAGCGCGTGCAAACCCCCAGCCCAGCCTGCCCGAGTCTTGGGGCAATGCAACAGCAGCTCAGCTCCGGAAGCCTGATGCTGGTGTGCACGCGGTGGGAGAGGCTCGCTTCCCGCTGGTTCGCTGCGCGCTCTCGCGCCCTGTCCGCCTTCTAGAATGTTGCGGCAGGTGTTGCACGAGGGCCTCAAGACGTCGTTCCACAAGCTGGGCCACTTCGTCGCCAACCACCCGGTGTTCTTCGCCTCGGCGCCCGTGCTCCTCTCCATCCTGCTCGGCGCGAGCTTCAGCAGGTACCGCATCGAGGAGAACGTGGAGTACCTGTTGGCTCCCAAGCACAGCCTGGCCAAGATCGAGGGCAACCTGGTGGACAGCCTCTTCCCCGTCAACCGCTCCAAACACACGCTGTACTCGGACCTGCAGACGCCGGGCAGATACGGCCGTGTCATCGTGACCTCGCGCAAGGGGAGCGTGCTCGAGCCTCACCACGTTGATCTGGTTTTGAAGGTAGGGAGGAAAGAGTTTTCAGAGTTTCGTTGGCTAAAGCTGGCAACGTGAAGGTGTTGATGCGAGAGCTGGGCTATATTTACAGTCATAACAAGACGTGCCATCAGCGCAGATGGATGCAAATGCAACATCCAGACAGTGACACATTTTTCGCTCTCATCAACACATTCAGCATCTTCGCGCTCTCTCTAGATTAATCCTAGCAGCTTTTCAGGCTGGGAAAGTCATGCACAGAATAGCCCACATAAAGTGTCGCTGGTCTGTTGCCAAATATATCACTGTGGAGATCTTCCACAGTCAATTTCCAGCTTGCAATACTGTGCAGTCTTAGGAAATCGGAGAAGATGATATATAAAGCCATTTATCTGGGCACTAATTGTTCCCATAGGAGAGCAAAATCAAAGAAGGTATCTCCTTAACGTCTGTAGTTTCTCCTTGACCAGTGTTTCCCAGCCCTGGTCCTGAAGGCCCACTGCCCTGCACATCTTAGTGCTCACCTTGCTTCAATACCCCACTTTAACTGAGTAGAGGCTTCTTAATGGGAAGATTATTTGGATCAGGTATGTCGGGAGCTGGGAAAACACTAAAAAGTGCAGGGCAGTGGGCTTCCAGGACCAGGGATGAGAAACACTGTCCTAGATAACAGTGAGATCAGATGGAAAGTTTACTGCTACTTTGATGTTTCTCCTGAGAACTCAGTAATCTCATCTTGAGGAACTCAACCATTTCTCATCCAAGATTAACAGCCTTCTTATATGTGATGCTGTGAGCAGCTATTTTATATTTATCTGGGCCAGATGTATCTCATGTTTCTTCTTTGTCTAATGCTTTTTCACCTAAAGAATTTTAGTTTTAAACAATCTTCATGGCTGTCTGAGACCTTTGCATAAATCCAGTCACTAGTGTTTCCAGTTTAGGACACTTCTACTAGCGCAAACCACAAAAGTGTAAGTACTTTACAAAACACTCATAAAAATCAATGTATTATTAATGTAGCTGGCCAGTCTCCTGGATTGTTCATGTCAGCTTTCTGACACTGGCCTGTGGCCAGACTCCTCAAACATCACAGCATTAAATATTAACATCTAATAGTTTATTAGAGTACAGTATGCTCAAAGTCAATCTAGCACTGATGCTGGGATGTTTTTGGGAAAGCAGGTCATAGACCCTCTGTGTAGGAGTGAGTTTTATTCTGCTGCAACATACTGACAAATTAATTCAGGCCTGCCACTACATTGTTACAGTTACCACAGTTTATATGAAAGATACTGCTTCATCAGACTGAGATGCAAAGTGAGGGTGTTTGTGTTTGAAAGCAGGGTGCCCAAATATAGTCCTGGTGATCTACCACCCTAGAGAGATTTGGTCCAAACCTAACCAACCCTGAAAAGGTGGAATGGAACTACGCTCTTTAGGGCAGTAAATCACCAGGACCGGACTTGGGGATCCATGACCTACAGCAGCTCTCTCCTTGCATAGCCCTGCTCAGCGTTCTGCTCTTTTTTGTATAGCTTCAACCCATATGTACAGGTTATGTAGCTTGCTTTTCCTTTCTCAAACAAAACTCCACCTCAAACTCATTCCTTTAGACCTTTTGAACACTTAAAACAGGGGTGCCCAGTCCTGATCCTGAAGATCTACCACTCTAGAGATGTCAGATTGAACACAAATGACTGTATTATTCAGATGTTCCTGAAGGCCTTCATGACCTGGATCTGGTGTGTTTGATTGCGGATGGAGCTAAACTGTGCCGGATGGTAGATCTCCAGGACCAGGGTTGGGCACCCCCTGACTTAAAACATACAGATAGGTGAGAAAGGAAAAACTAACATAACCTGTGTTTGGCCACCACAATTGATTCAAGTCCCTCTAATTGTATTGGAGGGTTACAACACCATTCTTCCACAAAGATATTCTTTCAGTTGGTGTTTGATATGATAGTGGAAAGCACTGTCTAACATGTTGGTCCAAAATCTCCCATAGGTGTTTAAGTGGGCAGTGACAGTGAAGGCCACAGCATATGACTTAAGACATTTTCATATTCATCAAACCATTCAGTGAACCATTGTGCCCTGTGGCAGGAGATACTGTTATCCTGGAAAAGATAGCTCCCATCAGGATGAAAATATTTCATCATACGATAAAGGTGATCAGTGAAATAAAAGACAAATAACTTGATTTACAGTGATACTTCCCTCAAAGTGGACCCAAACCATGCCAGAAAAAAGCCCCTCACAGCATAACAGACCCAGTAGGCACCCTCACTGTAGGGGTCAAGTATTGAGCCCTGTAATGCTCTTTTAGTGTATGCAACACGTGCAGTCACGCACTTGTTGAGAACATGGTGAAGGCTGACTCTGACTTAGCCCATTATGAGTCTGAGGCTCCTGCCCTTTGTGTTCTAATAAGTAATTCTCTTTTAAAGTTACTTAGATCTTTTCCACTGGCCATCTTCGTTCAAAATCAAGGTCAGCTGGGTCTGCTTCACATTTTTATACGTGCCACAGAGCATGGTAGGACATTAATTGCTTAATTTTGTTGTGCAGTACACCTGTCTGGAAACATCTGCACTTGGTAGGTTTCTCCAAACATTTATTCAAGTTTTTCCTTTAATTTGTCACTTGTTTGTAAGTCTGTAGCATAAAAGGCAACGCTGTATCTCAAATCTAAACAATGCAACCAAGTGAGGTGTTTAAAGGAAAAAGGTTCAAGTGAAAGCATTTTGGATTTACTGAGAGGCAACCTTTTGGTTGATCGCCTCCTATTCTATGTTCTGTAAAGAACCAAGAAAGAATCCACTAAGCTTTAAATATCTTTTTATCACTACATAAAGGTACAGCCTATTCAAAGGTGAAAAAAACACAAAAAATACATTCACGTAATTCATTTGAGGAACATGAAAGGACTTGAACCCATGAACTGCTGGTTATGAATCCGCAGTTAGTTACAAATCTGCCAGTAGCACACGATTATAACATGATATAATTGCTATGTTGCCATGGTTCTTCTGACTGTAAAACACCCTAAGCACCCATTAAGGACGAAAAAGCTTTTGCATGACTGCAGAATGATTGTTCATAATCACATAAAAAACCCTTAGGAAACCTCTTTTCTCTGGCCTTGACAGAGAATGTTCTGCAGACATGCTGAATTTAGTTTAAAGCTGTTCCTGTCATGCAAACCGTAAATGTTAGGCCACTGCACTTTCAGTTATGTGATATATTTAGTACCAAGACTAGTTAGTATTACTTCTTGTTTCAAAACAGGCCCCAAGCTCAGTGGTAGCAAGGGACTGGAGCTGCATCCTCCCCATTCCTACCCTCTTAATATTCATACATTGCATCAAAATGCTCCACATCTCTGCGACTGAAGCCTTGTTTATATTCTTTCTGCAATATAACACTTCAAGTCTTACTGTAACCTTGAGCATTGTGGCACTGCATCAAATCTCATCCTGAGAGAGCAAAGCCGTCTCTTCACTGCCCAGTGGTGATTTGATAGAGTACAATGCACTCGAATAGCAGTGTGCGTGTGTGAAGGTCTGGTAGTTCTGGGAGAGAGAAAACTCATGGCTGATATGTTCAAGCTGAATGGTCAACATTGTCGAATATTGTTCCTGTAGCCTCTTGCTTTTCCTTGTGTAAAGAGCAGACGGCTAGCTAGCAGCATCCATCCAGGTCAGTGGTTCTGACTGTGGGCTTGCAGATGTCACGCTTTAGCCTCCAACGGGGGGCTTAATTAGCAAGGCGAAGCAATTAAAGGTCCAATTGGTGAGCGTCTGACATTTCTCTCGTTCTTGAGAGAGCTGCAGGAACACTAGTGGAAATGACTCACTGTGGCAACCTCCAGTGATCTGAGCCCGTCTAATCGCTCCCACACATGGCGTGGAGATGCTGACCTCAGATAAAGGATTTGTTTGTCTTTTTGTCTCCTTCCCATACTGTGCTGGGAGAAATAGAAGAAGAATACCTGCTAATCCAAGAGACCCATGTGGGGAAAAGATTTGTAGGTTATTTTAAGGCTATTTTAAAGACCATAATGTGGACAGAGTCTGTGTTCTTTTCTTTATGCCCATTTTGGAAAATGTTCCAAATAAAATGGGTTATTTAAACAGGCCATAACATAAAGTCTGCATTCTTCTATTTATGCACATATTTGTGCACCATACCCTTGAAATGTTAGCAGTTACACAAAAGAGTCTTGCATCTTCAAACGAACAAAACACACCAAACAGTTATTTGTGGCCTTCCTAAAAGGTTTGAATGAAACTATGCAGCATTTAGTAGTTGCCTGTAGTATTAACTTGTTTATCTGTGGGTCCTATTTTATGTGTATCATAGAATAAATTTAAACAGGAAGTGAAAGTGGCTGCCCACTCCTTGTACCATGCTTCCCTGTTGCCTGGCAACCGCTACCCTGCAGGTCTCAACAGTTGCCACTGAATGCTTTTAGAACTTGATATAATCACATACTCTTAGAGCCCCAATACCTCCAATTTCTCTGTCAGCCGCATAGCTGTCTTTTTTAATTGTCTTTGTGGACAGCTGGGCCAGATTGGCTCTTTGTAATTTTTAACATGATGTGCAGTAGTTGGTAATGCATCTATTACACATGGGTTGGTCTCAGTTTCATAGCCATCAGTGCTGCAGCAATGGAATTTGGGGAAGGGAGAGCATGCTTCCAATACAAGTTGTTCAATTTCTTGGCAAATCAGATCACAAAGTCGTGATGGGACGGCACTTACTGCTTCCTTCCTTTGGGTAGGGTGTGCATGATCAATCAGACACACTTTATCTAGTTTCACAGTAAAACAATTGAGCACTATTGAATGAAGGCATCATTGCAAAATGTTTGACAGCTGGAATTTGTAGAGGCTAATAAGGTAAATCAGCTCTAAAATTTCAAAGAATAGAACTTTTTGCAGTCATTTCTCCTGATGTGAGGCTCCGCTTAACTTCATGTCTTTTACCCCCACCAGCTTCACAGCACCATCACCCACATCCAGGTTCCAATGCTGGGCTTCAACTACACCTTTGCCCACCTCTGCCTGCTGGATGACAGCAAGAACTGCATAGTGGACGACATCCTGCGGGCCCTGGAGGAGATGCGCACGGCTAGGGCCTCCAACCGCACTGTGCTGCCACTGCGCTACCCCATCACCAGGCTCAAGGACGGGCGGGAGGCCTACATTGGACACCAGCTGGGTGGGGTGACTCCAGTCGGCAGTGGACGAGAGGGTGTGCGCACTGCCCGCGCCCTCCAGCTCACTTATTACCTGCAGGCAGCCAGTCCATTAAACGAGGTGGTGGCAGCCCGCTGGGAGCTTCTGTTCTGCAAGGAGTTGGAGCACTTTGGGAAGGCACACCCGGAGCTAGGCCTGTATCCTTTCACCTCATCCTCACTACAAAGGGACTTCCAGAGGACAAGCCGTGTGTCAGAGCGGCCACTGCTCTTTAGCCTGGCTGTGTGCCTCTCACTGGCTGTGCTCTGCTGCTCCATGAGGGACTGTGTGCGCACCAAGCCCTGGCTGGGCCTCCTGGCGCTGGTCACTGTCAGCTTGGCCACCCTCACCTCGGCAGGGATATTCAACCTTGCGGGGGGAAAGTACAACTCCACGTACCTCGGCATTCCTTTCGTTATGCTAGGTAAGCACTCCCGTCTTTACACTCTTAGGCCGGAAACATTTCACACAAGTACGCATCGCAAATGACAGTGCTGCACCAATATTTTGCATTGGTGAATCTGCTGAATTGCTCTAAAAATGTCCAACCTATGCGTGGATTAAGATCACTTCAGGCAGGGTCATTTTGAACATGTGGTGGCCCTAGGCAACATTCAGGGATGCAGGAAAGTGTTTTAAGTCTGAGGTGCTGAAATTTTAATTTAAGTTTAATATAGGTGACACACACTAAGATGTCATGCTAAATACTATGTGTTTCGTTTTTCATTTGAATTGTTTGGATAATTTACCTGAAACAGAACATATCAAACATGCTAGATTGTGATGGGGAACAACAATCATAGGTGATATACACCTATGACCAATACAGCACCCACTGATGCACACCCTGCTCTTTCTTACTGGACAAACTTTATGCAAATAAGCTGAGCTTCGACCAGTCAGGTTGCTAATAAGGGGCATGGAACCCACTTGTATTACTCATATTGTGTATTTTTATACTACAATATTCTATACTACTTTAGAATATTTTTAGGCTGCATCTGGACACAGAAAAAGCCAATACATGAACTCCTGCTCGTGTTTTAAACATACCCCCAAAGCAGCAAGTCGGCAAGGGAGGTAAACTTAAACAGTGCATGGCTACTGCAGCTTTTGAACATATATAAACAACACAAAATGAAAAATACAAACTATATTACAAAAATACAGCAACACAATACAAAATCACACATGGGTCTTTGCTATACTTAAAATGTTCTGCTATACTTAAAAAATATATTCAAAACTGATCTTTTATTTTTCTGCCATTGGTTTTAGCAGTTCCAGCTAAACAGTACTGAAATCTGGGGGTGCTGTAGCCCCCACAGCATCCTTGCTTCCTGTGTCCCTGGTGATACCCTAGTTGAGTAGCCCCACACCCTCCCCAAATTTCTTTTGCCTACAAGAATAGAACAAGAATTAATATCTAAATCATTTTGATGAAGAAACAATCTAAGATAATCTCTGAACTCATTGCTCTTTCTGACAAATAAAATTAAATACATTTTTAAAAAACAACTGTACATTCGCGTGGGCCCCCTAGTGGCTTTTGGGTCCATGAGTGGGCCATACCACTTATACCTAGAAACAGCCCTGGCTGTAGAACCCCTGCATTGCTTGCAATGCATTGTACATTTTTAGTTGACTTACTTTAGAATGCATTGATGCGTGAATTCCTGTCTCGTAGCTCGAAGCATTTGCGTGGAGTATATTCCTGGCCTTAAACATCAACAGGGATACAAATGTGCTCATAATTTTCATGTTGTCAGTGTTCACTTTCACATTCTCATTACTCATCCCTTCTTCTCATGTCCTCTTGTGTACAGCCTTCATTTCCCGAGGCTGTCACAGTAAATCATCAACAGAAAAAGCAGAGGGGGGAAAGTGAGCACACCTATTGACTGACCATCGCCACTTGTGGCCGGGCTTTTGTAAACTCTTCATTAAAAATTAATATCCAAAGATCAAAGAACTAACAGAGCGCAACAGTGGCTCTCCAAGGGATTCCATGCTGATGTCATCTTTGTGCTCCATCCCTTAGTCATTCAGAAACAAATTTCCAAACTGACAGATTCTCTCTGACAAATTCTGCACATAGACGAACATACGTAAACACACATGCAGTCAGCTTCCACTGACAGATCGCCTCCGTCTCATTCTCTTGCTCTTTCTATTATTCTGTCTCTCTCGCACACATGGTAATTAGTGTCATGTGTAGGAGGGGGTTCTGTTGACTGGAGTACTGGGTGAAAATAACAGACTGGAGCAAGATGGAAGGGAAAAAGAGCTAGAGGGGAGAGGGGGAATGTCAAGAGAGGGGGTGAGGAGAAAGAGAAGGGTAGGTGCACTATATAGACCCGGGGGCCACTCCATACAATTACCATTGCCTCTTTATCTCAGTAAGACTGACAAGGCTCTGGGGTTGTATGTCTGATTGTATGTGTGTAAATCCAAGCATCTACCACAGTGCTGGCCCCAATAATGTGAATACTCAAATATTTTTTTTGTCATGTTGGTTTTCTGTTTAGTATTCAGAAGCTTTGTTGTTTTTTTAAGCCACAAAAATTGTAGCCCAAAATAAATTTCAATCTCAAAGGTCTTTAGACAGAACAGTTATTTTTAATTTATGGAATTTTTAAAAAAGAAATTAATTACGGCTGGTTTAGTTGAACGCATCATAAATTCACGAATGCCATCCACGTTTTGTTGGATGATAAGAAAAATACCCAGTGCAAAAAAGATATTGGAGGTAGAGGACTGCCTTCCTGCAGATTCCTGCAGGACCAGCCACAGTATCTTGAAGCGCAGGACTAATTTTCAGTGCTGTGTGCAAGAGTGGTGGGTAACCAGCCACTCCAACCAACCTGCAAATTAATTAATAGCCTAAATAAAGTAAAACTAAATCATATATAAAAGCAATATAAAATGAGAACAGTAAAACAATTAAAATTAATTAAGTCATTCTAAAGAGTTGCAAAGCAATCAATTATGTGAATAACACACAAATTCGCGTAGTTTATAGAGATGGTGGAACCTTCAGTTCGACGGCCACAGCTGCCCAGCATAAAACAAAAGATAACCACTCTGTGGTTTAATTCCTGCTTTGTGTTGACTGGGAATAAAGGGCGTTTGGTGAAGTTACTTCACAGTGAGCCTGATGACTATGACTACCATGTTATTTCAGCAGAGAATAACGTATATGTGCATTGACTGTGTCTTATATTGGATGTCACTTCACCTTGACGGAACTGTGTGGGCCGGAGCGGGACAAAGCGTTTCGGTTGCGGGCTGGAGCGGGACAAATAATTCCGATTTTCTGCAGGAATGGTCAGAAGCGGGATGAAATCTTCCGGGAGCGGGACTGAAAAAACAGCCCTGCGTAGACCTCAAATTGGAGGCACTATTAAGTTTGATGAATCATTTCAAATTTGTAAATGTAGCGATCTTTATCGGGGTACTGCCACGCTGCCTCCGAATCAACTTAGGCAAGAATTTTGGCTATTATTTCTCCTTTTCTGAATAAACAGTTTTACAGCAGGTTTAAAACTTTAAAACACAAACAGCAGATCTGTTTATTGTGACAAAATTACTGCTGTATCAGAGAAGAGTAGCCTCCACATATCATTAGTACAGCACAGGAGCTGCTCTGCAACTACCACTCCAAAAAGATCAGCTCATTTAGGTTAGTATGGTTTAGAACACTAAAAAAGTGAAAAAAAAAAAAATGCGACAAGTCGGAAGGGCTCGTGTTTGGCGACGGTAAGATATGTGTAGTGCAGTGAGTGTGTACTGAAACACTGATTAAAACAAACGTATGTGTTATGTCAGATGCTCTGAATATAATTGATTTTAAAGGTGATTCTGAGAACAAGTATTTCAGTACTTGTTTGGAAATACTGTTTGGGACAGCTCTAATCTCATAGCCTCCCCCAGTTCAGTTGAATCCCACCCCTTGGTCATTGTGTTGTTCAGTGGCAGCATTACGTATTAAAAATATTGCAATATTGCAAAAATGTTGCAATTCAGGATGAATTGTACCACCTAATGTCAACTTTCTGCAAATAAAAGAGCTTAAGTCATGCACTCAGGGCAAACACTGCCCTCCCCACTCTGTAACACAAATGCTGCACTACATCTCCGTCTGTCTCTTGAGCTTGAATAGACACTATATACTCTGGTGCAGTCAAATAGAAATATGGAACATGATAATTACCGCATTACAGACTTAGGCCAGCACAATGGCCCTTATCTCCATGCACCACCAGCCTCTCGTTGTAAAAGCTAATTCCATTACAGAGACATCAGCCTTCAAATGGGCTCATATGATAGTCTCCCAACAATGATGGAATGATCGACATAGGAGATATGAAGGGTCATAATTGCTGGGATTAGTATTGCATTTATGGGGACGAAGCGTTGGTTATATGCTCTATAATATCTTGCGAGACACCAGAGTGGTTTCTCATGTGTGGAATAAGCAATGTATTGTGCGGCAGAAATGACACAGTATATCATTCTTACTGTGTCTTTTTAAACCATGTTTTTAAATCAACAGCTTTATTTAACTAATTTTATCCCACTGGTCACAACTGTGACCAAAATTTTGTTCTGAATTTGAAAAGGTCTACAACGATAAACTATGAACGACCTGTGTTCTTGATTTCAGGCATGCATGTGAGTAAGAAGGAAAAAAGGAAGCAAAGAAAACATGCTATAGTACAAGTACAGTTACCTTTATTTGATTACTGTTTTAATACTGTATAGCTACATTTATGTAATTCTCGCAGATGCAAACATGTAAACAGTCACAGTTTCCTGTTGATAATCCTAATTATGAATTATGAACTTTTTCTTTTTCAATAACAGTCAGAAATAGATTCTTTAAAAACCTATTAAGCTTTAAAATTAGTGATTTTCAAAATTAAGCACTGCATTTAAAACAGTCTAAAAGTAGGCTATCATGCTCAAACTACTCAAACACTCTACCAGTCCACAGGAAGAAATACACAGTTAACAACTATTAGTTTTTTCTTTGTGGTTCACTGTTTAACAACGCAACTATGTTTTATCTTTTGCCCTGTTCTTCAATGGTCAGGACCCCCACAGGCCCACCACAGAGCAGGGCATTATTTGGGTGGCGTATCATTCTCAGCACTGCAGTGACACTGATATGGTGGTGGCATGTTAGTGTGTGTTGCGCTAGTAGATCAGCAGTGCTGCTGGAGTTTTTAAACACTGCGTCCACTCACTGTCAACTCTTATTAGTCACACACTTGTTGGTTCACCTCGTAGATGTAAAGTCAGAAAGTGCCTGTGTTAATCCAAGCAGTAAAATTAATGTAACAAACTCTCTCTGATAAAAAATGTGCATGTGTGTGTGTGTGTGTGTGTGTGTGTGTGTGTGTGCGCGCGAGTGTATGAAAGAAAGAGATGACAAGAAGAGAGAGAGATTTTTTTGTGCTTGTATATGAGCCATGAGAGCAAAGTAGAAAAGCCAGGGGCAGAGTGGAGAATGGAGTTCAGGCTCAGGTGAATGCCAGTACTCAAGCTCCTCCACTCTCTTTATTCTTTTTATCTGCCTTTCTGCATACTGCATCATCCTCCCCTTCCCCTCCCTCGCTTCCCCATGACATTTTTCTGCATTTGTAATAATTCATTGTGTCTTTTGAGCCCTTTTAGCATCAATCTCCTCCTTAGCTCAGGTTTGGAGTGTAGCCTGGCTCAGAATGTGCTGTCTCCTGAGTGCAATCAGATGGCTGTGCCCTGTGGGCAGTGCCCTGAGGTCAGTGCAAGCTGGGGGTAGTGCTCATTCCTATGTGCAGGACACCGTTCCTGGGTCAGTGTAAAGGCAGAGGTGGGCAGAGAGGTGGTGACAGGGCCGAGGGAACCTCCGTCATGGCCGATGAGTCACTGGTGCCGTGGCAACCCTGGAGGTGAGAGCCATCTGCTCCGACTGTGCTGACAACCCAGGCAAGAAAGAGGGAGAAGAAAGAGAGAAAGGGAAAAGACATAAGGGAATAGCAGGAATTTCGAGTACATGAGGGAATGGGCCAATGGACAAAATCGGCAGTGTTTCTTCATGCATCCTTTTCCATGATTTATCCTCGAGATGCATTTGAGGGACGCAGCATCACTTGTGGCAGCCTCTAAAAGTAGGCTGACCCAGTTCGGGCTTCTGCAGCAGAGTCCCTGGGCAACAAAGCAAAGCTCTTACCCAGCCTGGCATCTATGGGCCCATCTTCTCTCATCAGATCAATTTTGCATGAATGAGTGGCTGGCCTGGGTGCCTGAGAAACTCACTTAAGCACTGCTGTAGGGTGGAGAAAAACGAGTCAAGCAAGATCTACAGAATCATCTGTAAATAAAGTTGATGAACAAGAGGGTACACAGGTCATCTTTCCCCAATCTAGCAATACTGGCACTTTTGTTTGCATTTATGGATTGTAGTTACAGTAAATTACATGATGGCATGTTTGCTCTTGAGCTGGTATATATGATTTTGAGCTCTCTATAGGAAGAACAGTGGAAATAAAGTAAGAGGATAAATTAGATTAAGAAGATGCAGTATGTTTGGTTAATTTACATGCTTTGTGGTGCCACACGCCCAAAAATACTCCAGCAGGCAGTGCAAAGGAGTGAAAAAAAAGAGGGGCGAGAAGGAAAAAACAAGCACCTCTTACATCCATTTATCACCGAGGTTCTACTGCAGTGCCACCGTCTTGTCACCCTTTTATTCAATTATTTACGTTTCCCTTTCCCAGCAGGTTCCTCGTCACTTCAGGTGAAAGGAACTGCTGCCTGAACTATTCCAGTATGTGCGTCTTGTTCAAAATTTTAAAAACACTAAAAACATCTCTCTCTCTCTCTCTCTCTCTCTCTCTCTCTCTCTCTCTCTCTCTCTCTCTCTCTCTGTCCTTTAGGTCACGGCTTGTTTGGCACATTTGAGATGCTGTCGTCATGGCGGCGGACGCGTGAGGATCAGCATGTGAAGGAACGGGTGGCTGCTGTGTTCTCGGACTGCATGCTGCCCTTCACGGCCAGCACTGCCTTGCACCTGGTCACCTTTGGCATCGGAGCCAGCCCATTCACCAACATTGAGGCTGTGCGCCTCTTCTGTCGCAATGCCTGCATCTCCGTCCTTTTCAACTACCTCTACATCCTCACATTCTATGGCTCCAATCTGGTCTTTGCTGGCTACCTGGAAAACAATTATCGCCACAGCCTGTTTTGCAGGCGCGTACCCAAGCCCGAGTTACTGCAGCAGAAGCCGGCCTGGTACCGCTTCCTTATGTACACACATTACAATGAAGAGGCAGCAGAACCTGGTGACCTGCGTGCCTATGAGACCCATTTACTGGTGGCCTTCATGAAGCGCTACTACTGCGACTGGATCACCAATACCTACGTCAAGCCCTTTGTAGTGCTCTTTTACCTGGTCTACGTCTCCTTTGCGTTGATGGGCTACTTGCAGGTGAGTGAGGGTTCAGATCTCAGTAACGTGGTGGCTACAGAGACCAGCACTATTGCCTACACCCGAGCACAGCAGCGGTACTTCAGCAGTTACAGCCCTGTGATTGGCTTTTATATCTATGAGTCCATCGAGTACTGGAACACCAGTGTACAGGAGGACCTCCTGGAGTACACTAAGGGATTTGAACGCATCTCCTGGTTTGAGAGCTACTTGAACTACCTGCATGGGCTGAATATCAGCACCAGTCTGTCACGCAGTAACTTCACTGAGCATCTGCGTTCGGGTTTCCTGCGTCAGTCCCGTTACCTGCACTTCTCGGATGACATCATCTTCGCCAAGCGAGCTGATGGAGAGTTTGATGTGGTGGCTTCTCGTATGTTCCTAGTGGCCAAAACAACAGAGAACAAGCGAGAGGAGATGTCCATCTTGCTGGACACATTGCGGAAGCTCTCACTGACATCTAGAGTAAAGTTCATCATCTTCAACCCCTCTTTCGTGTACATGGACAGATATGCGTCTTCAGTGGGCGCACCACTGAAGAACTCCTGCATTGCTGCTCTCTTCTTGCTCTTCTTCTCCACCTTTCTTGCAGCCGACCCACTGGTGAATGCCTGGCTAACCGTGACAGTGGCCTCAGTGGAGTTTGGGGTTGTGGGCTTCATGACTCTGTGGCAAGTGGAGCTGGACTGCATGTCTGTGCTGTGCCTAATCTACGGGGTGAACTATGCTGTGGACTCTAGTGCCCCTCTGGTGTCAGCCTTTGCCCTAGGCCGTGAGTCAACACGAACCCGCTGGGTGAAGGTGTCCCTGGAGCGCCATGGGGTTCCGGCTCTGCAGAGTTATGTGTGCTATGGTGCCGCCCTGCTGCCCCTGGCGGCTGTACCCTCCAACCTCACCCGCACTCTGTTCAGGTGCCTCTTCCTCACTGCCCTCATCACCGCCTTCCATTGTCTAGCCATCCTGCCTGTCCTCCTGACCTTCTTACCACCCTCCAAGAGGAAGAGGCGGGAGAGAAAGAATGTGACTGAGAACCAGGAGGAGATTGAATGTGTGGAGATGGCGGACAGTACACGCGTGGTTGATCAAATTACCACCGTCTGAGCAAATGCTGAAAGGTAAAAGTCAACCAGGTGAACTCTGACCAAAGTACCCAGGGGGAATGGCAGGGAATTGGCTCACAGTGCCCATCCAGAGTGGGTCAGTATGGGCCTAGATGAGAGACACACCCTGGTCCCACGATGTGAGCTCGCAGGTGTCTCTGCAGTGGGCCTACTTTCTCAGAAAGAGTGTGAGCGCTCCTGCTGAAACTAGGCTTTGTTGTCATGGTAAAAAGTGCTAGGTAGGCCTTGCCATTAAAGCGAGACTAGGTTGTCATGGTGAAAGCCCTGTGAAGGCTATGCTGCACAACTTCCATCCCTCATGGTGTAGAGAGAAAGCTGTTGCTTGGCAAGCCAGATTCTCGGCCAGCTGCAGATAATTACAGAGTGGCTTCTCTGGCTGGCAGTTGTAGAGTAGTAGATGAATGCTGTAACAAGGTCTTGCCTTAATGCGGCACAGAGGCACATATATATGCGAACTACTGCAACATTACTGTGAGACAAGACAGGCAACCAAGGTGTCATTACAGTGTCCCTACCACTCATATTTAGAGATGGTTAGGAGTACTCATAGCTAAATCAAAGCAGCCATAGTCATCCCTTTGAACAGCCATGTCTTTTAGTAGCCATATAACATCATCTATGATTATCTTTCTCAATAAGACTCTTTAATGGTCTCTGGTTATTTTGTGGTAATAAGGAAGGTACATGCTTGAATAGATGTCAATAGGCATCAAGACTTCATCACAGCCCCTCCTGTTTTTCTTTTTGCTGCTGTTGATGTCAGTCCTCTCCCCTCCCCAACACATTCTGTCTCAGAGGCAGTAATAGTTGGGTGAGCGATACAGGAGAAAAGAATAGGAAGAGCAAGGGAGAAACAGATGCTTGTAAGCGTTGGCAGGTTGAGATGCAGTGCAATGCTTCCATGGTAACCTCCTTATTGCAGGTCACAGTTTGGTTATACTGTGCATATTTAATTTCCCTCGTCTCAAGCTTTCAATCATTCCCTAATAGGGTCATTGGTTGCCAATTAGGTTGTATGTTATATTGCAGGCCGTAAATAATCTGCAAAGGGTTTTCTCCTGGAGTCCTTTTGTGTTTTGGTTTCCTCTGAAAATGCTGAAAATTATCCTGTCACAGACTATGCTCCTCATCAATATGTATGAGTCAGAAAAGCTGTTTTTTTGTCCTTGCCCTCTGTATATGAGAGGCAGAGAGGAGGAAGGAGAGAAGGATAAAGGCAGAGAAAGAAAGAGCAGCGTGGGGAGAAAGAAAGAGCAGGGTGGGGAGAGAGAAAGAGAGGTTAAGAGAGGAGCATCTGGCAGATTAAATCTATTTATTTTTGAGATACCCCTCAGTCCTGAGGCTACTTGTCAAATCAATTCTAATGTAAAATGGAGTCTACTCTACCTCTTCCTCACTTCCTCCTAGGACGACTATGTTACCATCAGGTTAGTCTCAGACCCACGCATATACGGAGCGTCTGTGTCTCTTGCACACAAAGCTGGCTACAACTATGGGATTTTGTCAGTTGCATTATGATTGATCTCCACGTCCATGCATACACACTTCTGTGAAGAATTCTTTTTATAATTCAGATGGGAAAATTTAGTTTTTCCAGTTGAATTGGAGTCATCAGTAGCAAACAGCTGCAAGCACTGGACATTGTGCCAAAAATTAGCCTTTCAGAGCAAGATATATCTGTGGGATTTTTACATTCGACTCCACTTGCACGCCACGCCAAAACAGAAGGCTGAGTTAAGTCATTTTGCATGGCCTCTTGCTGACTAGGTAAGCAGTCACTGGCAGGAGAATGCAGTGAAAAGTGCAAGACTCTGCCGATAGGCAGAAGTCTGGCTTGACTACCTTCAGGTAGACCACACACCAAACATCAGTTTATCAATAACTTCTTATTTCTCATGTTAATAGCAAGAGTCTTTTAGGGCGCAAAAACACTCTGTCTACAAAGTTTGTAAGGAAAAGAGAGGAAAAATACATAATCCAAATCCAAACTGAAATCTGTCAGAGGTCTCTGTAGTAAATGTCTGTGATGAAAGAGGAAAAAGCCAAGGAAGCAGAGGAGAAAAACAATCAAAACAGATGTCCGCCGGAACTGTGTGCAGTTTTCATATAGTCATGCACACTTGATGTGGCAGCTGTCTGTCTCAGGCTGTGCCTATTGGAGAGTCTGAATTTCTGCTTTGTCAGGGTGAGGAACCATGACGTTTATGGTGGAGCATTACAGTAATGCGTGGCCCAAGGGGCTCGGGCTCCCTGCATGACTTCTTTGGCCGGTGGCCAACAGCTGCTCCTTTCTCCTCTCTCGCAGTGCTGGAGCTATGCACGACTGCGGTACATCTGGATGAGCGTGCTTACTGGACGCTCCAGTCTGGAGAGCTGATCAAACCATACTTGCTACTGCAGCACTGACATACAGCCTCACCCTTAAGCTCGCACTGTCCCCAGCACAGCACTCTGAATGTAATGTACATGGAATCCCATTAGCTCCCATTGTCTACCATTCTAACTTCTCCCAGATCAAAATGAGAGATATCTGCCTGCCTATCTATTTTTCTGTTATTCAGCGTAGACTAGGGCTGCACGATATGGACAACATATTAGTAAATATTAGTATTGTGATTATACTGCTACATACTGCAATTGCAGTACCTCTCACAAATATTAAGAACACACAGGTGAACGACTGAGACATGGTTGGAAATTAGTCTGTTTAAACTTGACAAAAAATTATATTTACTGTTGTTGCTTCACACAAATACCTTGATTCATCAAAACACCCACTGAAACTCATCTGAGACTGGTCAGGATGCTCACATCTGTGATGAGTTAGAGGGCTCAGTTGCATATTACAGCCTCCTGTCATATCTGTACTGTAAAGACCAATATCACAATAATGATTAACCAACAGTATATTGTGCAGCCTTAGTATTGACCTGCATATCGGCATATACAACTGCATACACCTTGATATCTAGGCTAGTGCAAGCATTTCACTCAGTTTATCCTGGGATATACCTTCTCAATCTTGTTCTAGGTCGGAGTGTACCATTACCATTAATCTGGGGTAGCTGGAGTTCAGACTTCATCAGGTTGTACCACTCTCTTCTTACTGTAGAAGCCAGGAGCAATGTGTCACTGTGTGTGTAATGACCTGTAAATGTACATAACTCTGTCCCTCTCCGAAGATACTGTACTTGAAAAAAACTCTTTACCCTTTAAGAGATATCCTATGTAATTGTTTTTTATCGTCGTTTTATAAATGAGTCCATTCTGTATGTACTGGATGAGAATGTCTGATGAATCCCCATCACCTCATACAAAAAAACACCCCCATCTGCCCATGTAGCCTGTTGACTTTAGTGGCTGAATATGAAGATGCACATCCATAGCATACCTCTATCAAACACACTCAGGCCTGCACTTTTGACCATCCATAACACATCTTTCTTTTGTTTTCTTCATCGAAATGGACATATTATGAAGCAGCATAGGCACCAAGGGTCATCTGAAGGTGTTAGAAAGACAATAAAAGGACTAAGAACACGAACAAATCACACACAATAATATGACAAAATATACACGAATTTGCCCTTCAGGAGGGAACTGTTGCTTTTGTATCTGTTTGTATGAATTCCAAACCAATAAAGCAAAAAACTTGCATTTGATTTGTTATTGTCTTGGCCTATGCAGTATTGTTCTGTGCAGTCTTCTTCATCCACTGTTTCAACAATGTCTAGGTTTAGAGGGCCAACAGTGCCATCTTGTGGTTATCACTCATTGCCAAAAACACCAGTATGGTGAGACTATGTAAACTGGAGTAATGCCCTCCTGTCTGTCGTCATATGGTCAAAGTTTTCACTGTATCCACAGTTAGAAAACACACACACATTTATGAAGAGTAACCCTTGGCAATTTAAATAAAATCTGCTCACAAAGCTTAAAGTATGACACAGTCTAACTTCACACTGAGAAATGCTACTCATTGGTAACTTCACTGTGTGCTATACTATTATTAACATTATGAAAAGCTTAATTAAACAACACAAGGAAATACCGAGAGCAATCCTACACTCTCTTCGTATATTCGGTACTGGGCAATGAGAAAATAAGTACATACTGTACTGTGCAAACATCCACCCTTCATTTACTTTATTTCCAGTCAAAATGGCAATTAAGTACCAATTCTTGATTTATCAGTATCCAGAAAAAAAGCAGAAAGCATACAAAGTATGAACAACTGAATATAATATAATATACAAATACAGCTTTCTTTTTGTGAGATTCAGTTTTTTTAAATAAATATGCAGGGATATTTTTCCACACCTCCAAAGTTAGAAGTTGGTTGCATTTTCTGCTTCTCATAACCCAAGTAATCCCCAACACATTCAGTGATGTTGAGGTCTGGAGGTCTGCGGTGGTCAGTCCATTGTTCTGAGAACACCAGGAGCTTCTTTGTTTGATTTACAAATATTCTTCCTTTTTGTCTATTACCTTTTCTCAGTGAGGGCTTCTTGACAGATACACATCCTTTCAGACCCATAGCGTTGAGTTGTCTTCTCACAGTGGAAGGACGGACCGAAACGTCTGTAGGTTTTTTTTTTTAGATCTGAAGCAAAAGTGGAGTTTTATTTTCTCCTTTCTCTCAAAGATGAAAGTCTTAAGTGCTGTTCATCTGGTGGTGACAGCTTTAGTGGTCTACCAGGCCTTGCATGGTTGTTAGGAGACCCATGTCCTCTGTGTTTGAATAATCTTTTGAACTGTACTTTTGGAAATTCCCATCTGTCTTTCTATCTATCTGTCTATCTATCCCTTTCCCACGTATCCAAGTAGTTTATTTTATATCTAAAAATACCTCAAAATGTGTCCTGAAAAATTAATAACTTAAAAAAAAAATTGACTTTTGCACAGCACTGTATGTTCCACAATCATAATACAAACACTTATTTCCCTCAGTATGTAACCAGTACAAGTCAGAACTGAGCAGAGAGACCTGTACAAACCTCTATGCAAATTAATGTATAACACATCACGTGTACAACAGTGCTTAACACTTGGCCACTCTAGGACACAAGACCAAGGAAAATCCTTATTA